AACTTTCTTAAGACTCAAGACGGCATACCGTATAAGTATCACTTCCGATGTTCAGACGGCACGCCGTCGAAATATAAACTACGATCTTCAGACGGCATGCCGTACAAGTATCACTTCCGATGTTCAGACGGCATGCCGTAGAAATATCACTTCCGATGTTCAGACGGCATGCCGTGGAAATATCGCTACCCTTATATAATTTAATGAGACTCGTGATCTTTTGTATGCCGAAATATATAGATCTAGCGCCTTAAATACACCTCTGTTGAATAAATGAAATTCATAATCTATATTTTTTTAAATCCACTTATACTACTCTCGTCGTTCTTCACACATACCAGCATGATGTGACAGGATTGTCGTCTCCTTTTTTATTATCATGTTCTGAAAGTGAAAACAAAAGCTCCTCTTCCTCTCATCATATTCCTTGTTAGGCCAAATCTAAATTCAGACACAGTTGACTTCCTTATCTGTCCACGTGGTTTTATGCACCCCGCGTAATTTTGCAAAATTTGATAATTTTTTGCATAATTTCTGATTATTTTCCTTTATCGTTCTTTGTTAAAATTAACAGAATCGCATAATTTCACATTTTGGGGCTCGCATAAAACAACGGGGACAGCCCTATCGCTATGGCCAGGTTTATGCGCTCAAAATGATGTTTGTTGCAGTAGATCAACCCGGTAGCAATCCTAGCATTACTACCTGTTCACTTCATGTTATATATAATATATTAATATCTAGAAATTGGCTTGTAATTCCCTTTCTATTTCCTTCCAAAGGGGTTTTACTTTCACGCAGTTAAAAAAAAGTGTCCAATGAAGTCAGGCACCCCGCAATACATGTGTACTTACAATTTTCTGATTCTGTAATTTTCATTTTGCGCAATAATATTATTCGTGGGGAAGATGTTATGAAATATCTTTCATAAAATGGTCTTTAGGCGAGTTTCCGACAGGCGTGTACAATACCCCAGTATTTTTTGGTAACTTGGTTTTCCTCTTGATTTGAAGCCGAATTCACGGGTGGGGTAAGATCTTGCCGCTAGTTGTTTCTGGGGCATTCTGGTTAGATGTCCGAAGCATTTGACTCTTTGACGCTCAATGAAATTTATTACTTGTGGTATTCCGGTTAGTAGGCGTATAGTTTAATACCTAATGCGGTCTCCACTGGTGACATTGATGGTTTTGCGGAGACACCTCATCTCCCATGCATTGGTTTTTTTCTTGTGTCTTGTGCTACGGCAGCTGTGGTCATGTAAGAATGAATAACACGTATCCTCTGCAAGGGTAAAAATTAATTTACAGTCATTCTCTTGAAAAAAGGGTTGGTTCGGGGGGGGGGGGGGGGGGGGGCCCAAGGGGAACTTCATTGGGGTCCCAGGGTGTTTCTGAAACGATTATTGATTTACCGATTTTTTATTAATTATTTTTTGTAAGTGTTTTACTGCACTGGCAACTGCATAAGGTCATATGAGCGCGAGGGACACACCAAACATTTTCAATTGGTAGGACATTTTGAATTTTACCCGGGTGGCGGCAGAAGCCTACTGTTATCAATGTTTTTTTTAATAACCAATGGATCTTTAGTGCGCAACTTGCACACGGGATCTCCGAGATTTTCGCCATTATGTCCGAGAAGGGTAGGTGTAGATCTTTCCCGCCAAAGATCAGGGGTGTGGCTGAAAGACAGCAGTAAGAAGGAGCCAAAGAGTAGCAACAGAAAGGCTTCAGAAAGAGTCAGCTTATAGGAGCCCAATGGAGGGGGGGGGGGGGGGGCAAAGAGGGTGAGGGATGGAGGAAAGAAAGTGGAGAGACAGAATATAGAAAGAGAGAAGGAAAGAAGATGAAAGCAGACAATTATAGAGAAGAACATTTTTCTGTCGCTACAAGGATTCGAACCCTGGACCTTTGAATGAGAGGCAATTAACACTTTAACCTCTAGGCCACGAGCGCCGACCTGGCCGATTTTGACGACATGATGCGCTGCGTGAAGCACTGGGGTCATCCTCTTTTGTTTCTCCTTTTGTTTATTATTTTGTTATATATTGTTCTTTTTAACTCACCTTGGTAGAATTGCATTTCTATTCTCACCCACTTTTAGCACACCTGTTTCGGCCCGTATAATCGCCCTCTATCACACAATTGATATTTCCAAAAATACATGTACATGCAGTTGGCTTTCTAATAACAGGATATCATCTTCATACTTCAGGACTTTTAAACTCTTGCGAAAGTTTTATTTTATAATCTATTTGATTAATTGCTCTTCTTTTGTTCGGCTGAGCCATAAGCCGTTGTTTTCAGCACACCAGCGAGAAGGATTAGTAGGATTTTACACGGGATAAGGTTTTTTTGGTATGCACATAGGGCCCACAAAATTCGACACTTAGTGTCGAATTCTGTGATAGGGCCTTATAGTTTGTAATTTAGATCTAGAAAATCGAGATCAAATAAACCTTTCCGAATGTGTGCAAAGAAAAAGTATAGAAAGTTGGCACTCATGCTGTGTAAAAGTATAAAATTGTTGGAAATGTGTGTATAACTGTTTTACTTTTGTTGTTGTTGTTGTTGTTGGTTTTTGTTTTGTTTATTTGTTTATTTGTTTGTTTGTTTGTTGTTGTTGTTGTTGCTTGTTTTGTTTTGGTTGTGTTTGTGGGGGGGGGGGGGGTCGGTCCTTTTCGGAGTTTTACGCCCCCTATACACAATTTAGACCATTTCGGCCCTACCTGAGAAAGATACAACATCCCAGAACAAATACTCAGATACTCAATACAAATTTACGCCCCATTTTGGGAACCGAAATCCGGCCTCCTGCATGCGACAGGCGACAATGAAGCGCCTACCTCTACACTCAACATCACAGAAGCAGATATGCAGATCTGCGTCAAAAATTGCGGAGTGGCGCTGTTCTCTAAGGAGCGTGTTCTGGTATTGTCAAAGGATGGCTCTATATACGTAGGCCTTCTCAGTGAGAAAGCCTAGCTCTATACTTAAAGCCTCAACAAATTGATCTTTTAACAAATATCATTAAAACAAACCAAAAATCTTCACACAAATATTCCAACAACAAAAAATCAAATTAATACCCGCTTGGTATGACAATTTTATTTTTGTTTTGTTTACACATTACATTTTCATTTTTAGTATGCTTTTGAGCAAAATATAGGGCACTTCCGTTGAAAATTCTTCTTCCGGTTATTGTGTTGATCGAAGCCCGAAGCCTCAGTTGATAGCCTAGATCTATTTGGTAAGAATTAAGAACTCATTTCTTTCTAAACAATGTTTAGTTTGCACCAATGATAAAGAATTGATGTTATAGAATTCATTATCATATGATGCTATTCACAAATTCTCTCAATACAGTTGTAATATCGATAAAAATGGCCATGCCACCCGACGATAATCCGATCTTTCACCCGATGAATGCCTTCTTGGACTAATTTTTCATCTGTTGTTTACCTTTCTCAGATCTGCCCATGCTTTCACTTGAGGATGAACAGTTGTCACTAGATCTAGTATAAAATAATTTCAGGAGTTTGTAGCATAGATTTAGATCTAGATCATTTTAAGCCTTAACTTGAGAATGATGAAAAGTTAGCACCATAACATCATGGCCATGGCATGCATGGTCTTCTCTCTCTCTGCTTTTGACTTTTGATGGATGGTGATAAAATTATCCAGTAAGGTCTGATTTATTGATTTAACTCTTGTCCTGCATCTGTGCTGAGATGCAAATCTTATCTGCAACCGATTACGTTGGACGTGCCAGGCAGGCCGCCGGGGTCACTCCGTGTGTACTGTTGGTGTACAGCAAGCACACCGGGAAGCGTATGTTTTTGCTGTGAATGTGAATACCATTGGAGTGTGTTAATCGATGATGAAAATAACGCTCTATCTTTCATAGCTTTCTATTTATAAAGAGTTACAAACACACGAATAACCCCCTCTCACAAGCTGATAAGACATTACGAGTAGTTACGCCCATTCGAATAACCTTTCTAGATCTAGATCTAAATCTAGTTCTAGACGCTCTTGTTTTTATGAATGACCCGAGGTTCGAAAGGGGATAATATAGGTCAATTTCAGAATGTTTTGCTCTCAAATTGTTCTTTGTGCCTGCATAATGGTATTCCAAACTATCATACAAGCTTTTTTTTATCAAGTAGATGCAGATCTAGAATCTAGTATCATTTCATACAAAAGCTCATTTGAAAGATTTTGTATAGAAAAATGGAAGTCTCGTTTCCTGACTATGCTATCGAGCTCCTCATGTCTAAGTGGGTCAATTTCTTCTATAATTTCATTGGACGAACATCTAGAGCTACCAACTCGGCGTGTTTTGAACGAGGAAGTGGCTATTCTCATCCGGGGTGAGAATAGAAAAACGATCTACCTCTCACCCCGGGTGAGAATTGCCAGCGTAGGCTATTCTCACCCGGTGCGAAACAAGACCTGTGGAGACGACAGAATATAGAAAGAGAGAAGGAAAGAAGATGAAAGCAGACAATTATAGAGAAGAACATTTTTCTGTCGCTACAAGGATTCGAACCCTGGACCTTTGAATGAGAGGCAATTAACACTTTAACCTCTAGGCCACGAGCGCCGACCTGGCCGATTTTGACGACATGATGCGCTGCGTGAAGCACTGGGGTCATCCTCTTTTGTTTCTCCTTTTGTTTATTATTTTGTTATATATTGTTCTTTTTAACTCACCTTGGTAGAATTGCATTTCTATTCTCACCCACTTTTAGCACACCTGTTTCGGCCCGTATAATCGCCCTCTATCACACAATTGATATTTCCAAAAATACATGTACATGCAGTTGGCTTTCTAATAACAGGATATCATCTTCATACTTCAGGACTTTTAAACTCTTGCGAAAGTTTTATTTTATAATCTATTTGATTAATTGCTCTTCTTTTGTTCGGCTGAGCCATAAGCCGTTGTTTTCAGCACACCAGCGAGAAGGATTAGTAGGATTTTACACGGGATAAGGTTTTTTTGGTATGCACATAGGGCCCACAAAATTCGACACTTAGTGTCGAATTCTGTGATAGGGCCTTATAGTTTGTAATTTAGATCTAGAAAATCGAGATCAAATAAACCTTTCCGAATGTGTGCAAAGAAAAAGTATAGAAAGTTGGCACTCATGCTGTGTAAAAGTATAAAATTGTTGGAAATGTGTGTATAACTGTTTTACTTTTGTTGTTGTTGTTGTTGTTGGTTTTTGTTTTGTTT